AGAGAGAGAGAGAGAGAGAGAGAGAGAGAGAGAGAGAGAGAGAGAGAGAGAGAGAGAGAGAGAGAGAGAGAGAGAGACGGATGGTGTCTGGTACAGCTGTGTGTGTGCACGTGATTCCTAGTTCAAGTCTAGGAGCCGGTTTATACTGATCCCTAATCTGAAACCGGTTGCAGACCAGGAACTGGTTCAAGATCCGTTTCTCCCCCCACCTAGATTTCTGCCTGGCAGGAGCCTCGTCAAAATTTGGATTCACTTGCAGATCAGGGAGCTGATTGGAAGAAGAACCGGATCTGGTTACAAAGGCACTTTCAGATCTGGTTCTGGGCTTGTTCCATATCTGGTTCCAGGCTTCTAGCAGATCTGGCCTTCACTCTTTCCAGATCCAGCTCCGGCTGCAGATGCGTTTGAGCCCCAACTTGTGTCATAGAATCTTCATGGCCTTCACTCTTTCCAGATCCGGTTCCTGTTGAGGTTTAGACTGCAGTCCAGATCTGCTGCCGCGGTCTTCTTCAAAGAACCAGGATTGGATCGGGGCAATAACTGCATTCCGGGTCTCATGTGAGTTGGACCACATTTCCCAACTTCCCGTTCCAATTTGTGTTTGAGACTGTCGAGTTTCTGATACTGTTGTTTGTCTTCTTGTTTGTTGTTCGCTGCAGTTCGTGTTTTTGTCCTTATCCTGCTCCCGATCGGGAAAGCCTGCTGTTGTTGCAGCTCTGGTCCATGGTTCCTTAAACGTCCTTGTCTTTCTTCGTTTCCTCTTTCCCCTTCATGTACCTCTACTTCTTCTCCTTCCTCTCCTTCTTCATTTCCTTTGAAAATTTTTTCTTCTTCTACGTCCAAGAACTTCAATAACATCAGCAATCACACCATGGCATCTTCTAGCCTTGCACGGCCGCCCACTGCATCAGCAAAAGGCAAGGGCAAGGGCAAGGCAAAGGACATTCCAAATTTCGAGCCACAGTCCGAGACACAACAAAAACAATTGCAGCGGGAGAAGACGGTGTACAGATGGATCGAGCGGGGACAAATGGCGGAGCCGAAGGGTTATGGCCAATATTGGGTYCGCTGCAGGTTGTGCAAGTYGGTRTTCACAGCGTCCACCACCAGGGCAGTCGAACACTTCTTCAAGAAAGGGAAACCATGCACTGCGAGGACGGCAGAGATTCTGCACTTGCTTGCATTGGATGGCGCGAAGATCGAAGGAGATGTAGCCAAGAGGATGGTCCACAGGTACAGGGTGGAGAGCGGGATACCTGAGGACATGGGGATGGGGCCTGATGGGGAGCAAGACGGAGCTGCGCTGCAGGAAATGGAGGCACAACTTCGGCCACCACCGGTGTCGGGGAGAGAGGTCCCAACAACAGCGCAAGCTCAAAGTGCTGCAGTGCCTGATTCGGGAGGCCGCACATCTCAAGGACTAGACTTGGGTGAATTGGAGGCCGCAGCCGCTGCTGGCCCTTCTTGCCAGGCCTCCTCCTCCACCACCGATGTGAGGACGGGAAAGAAAACCCAGACCTCTATCCGCAAGTGGGTAAAGAACATTGCACAGAAGAGGTTGGACAAACAGTGGGGTAAGGCTTTGTTTCGGGCCGGGGTGCCCTTCAACTTTGTGAGGCAAGAGGAGACCAAAGCACTTCACGACTTCTACATGGAGTTGGGTGCACAGAAGGCAAAAGCACAGATGACCACATTCGATACTCTGCGGACCATTGTGCTTGACGCCATCTTTGATGAGGTGAAGCAAACTGTGCAACCAATCGCGGATAAGTGGGATATGTCAGGCTGCACACTCATCACTGATGGATGTACGGATATAAAGTTCAGGCCAGTCCTGAATTTCGTTGGCGGTGGAGAGGGAGGTGCAGTACTGATGAAGGTGGTCGACACGTCCAATTGGGAAAAAAATGCCATGGCTCTTGCCAAACTGTGGGAGGAGGTCATACGAGAGATTGGGGTGCAGAGGGTAAACGCCATCTGCACCGACAATGCTGGTGTCAACAAAAGTGCCGCACAAATTTTGAAGCGTTGAACCGACCTGGAGATCGCGAAGATTCCATGGCTGCCATGTGCAACACACACGTTGAGCGTCCTCCTCAAGGACATCTCCAAACTCGATTGGGTTGCACCGATAAAGAGGCAGGCAAAGTCTACTGTGAAGTTCATAAGGTGACATCATGAGACAGTCTCCATGTACTCTAGATCATCAATGGATGAAAGGAAGACACTGCTTCTGCCTACAGAGGTGCGGTTTGCATCGGTGTACAAGATGATGGAGAGACTAAGTGACAGGAGGTGGGTACTTGAAGACATGATGAAGAGCGGGTGGAATGACATCCATTGGAGCAGCAAGAAGTTGAGAAAGAGGGTAGACAACATTTTCCATTGGGTCAGATCCAATGATTGGTGGAACGATGTTGACAGGGTGGTGAAAGTGATGCGGCCTGTGAGTGAGATGCTGCGCAAGATGGACATGGATGGAACAACACCTTCGCAGCTGTAGGGATTCGGTGACATGCTTTGCGCCCGCTTGGAGAACATCGACGGCGTGACAAGGGAGCAGCTGCAAGTGCTTTTCGCACTCGTCGACGAGCGTTGCAAGATGATGAGGCATCCTGCCCATGCTGCACACTTCCTCCTCCATCCAACTAGAAGAGACCCCAAATGGCTGCTTGACATGGACTCCCCCTTGGTACAAAACGCGATCAAGTTCTTCTTGTCACAGTTGGGGGGTGACCGTTGGGGGGATCTGCAGTCACACCTTGATGTGTGGCAGAGCTTATGGACGTTCCATTGCGAACCGCCGAAGGAACAGGCCATGAAAGAGCCAATGTGGGACGAGTTCGGCAAGGGAGATAGTAGCCTCACTAGGAAGACGGCCTCGCAGTGGTGGGCTGCATATGGTGGGAAGCATAAGAAGCTTCAGAAGATCGCAACAAGGGTAACTGCCATGTGGAGCACAGCGACACCTGTAAAGAGAAACTGGTCCTCCCTTGACTTGGTGCAAACAAAGAGGAGGAACAATCTCTCCATCGAGAGTGTTGAAAAGTTGGTGTACATCCACTGGAATATGCAGCTAAGTGTGGTTCGCCGCGGTCTGAAGTGTGGCTTTTTGGACATGTGGGGCACATGCGTCGACGATCCCGAGCCTCCAAGCGCAAAAGACCCAGCAGTTTTGTCAGGCCCCTTGGAGGGGACGGAGGAGGAGGATGCGAGACAGGCAAGACTGAGGAAAGCCCCCAAAGGCAGGATTCCGAAGGGCTGGGACACCGACGACGCCTCCGATTATGAGAGCAGCGACGAAGAGCTCATATGGAGTGGGAAAGGAGAGAATGGAGGAAGGAGGTCACAACCAGCAAGGGACGCCAAGGGCAAGGCCGCAATGGTCGAGGAGAGCGATGTGGACAACGATGAACTTGGGGGGGAGGAGGAGGAGGACGAGGATCCAGATGATCCGGACTTCAAGTTGCATCCACCCGGGCTCGACGATGACTCTGAGCCTGATATGGGCGACCGCACAAGGTCCACTCCAGCCATTTACACACCTCACGCGAAGAGCAATCTTTCTTTCGTTATGCCAGCATTGTGCCCTTCGAGGGCGGACACGCTTGTCAATGATGACGCTGATCGGGTTGCAGCAAGGTCCCTCGCAGAGAGGGATCACGCCATCGTATAGCATCGGATCGAGCAAGATAATGCACGACGAGTGGCAGTCCCTCCCCCTTCGAGACTCAACAGGGCAACAGCAGCGACAAAGACAGGAGGAGCAGCACCTGCAACGTCGATAGCAGCAGAAGCTGTAGCGCCAGACGCGCTCGTAGAAGCGCCAAAAGCAAGAGGATCGGTAGCACTTGCTGCAGCAGCAGGATTGGCAGCAGCAGCGCCAGATGCACCTGTACAAGTCTCAGCAGCAGTGCCAGATGCACCAGTGGAAGTGCGAGAAGCAGTAGGGTCAACAGCACCAGCTGTGGTGGGAGGGGTGGCAGCTGTAGTGGCAGGTGCGGCAGGTGCGGCAGCTGCAGCGACAGGTATAGCAGCTACAGCAAGAGCAGCAGTAGCAGTAGCTGGAGCACCCGTTGTGACAGCTGCAGCACCCGGCGTGGCAGCTGCAACAGAATCAGCTACACCAGCTTCAGCAACAGGCGCGGAAGCGCAAGCTGAGGCCAAACAACTGAAAAAGGATCAGCAACAGATGCCACAGCTTGAGGAACAGCAGATGCCACGGCAGGAGCATGACCAGGAGAAGCAGCTGCCACAGCTCAAGGAACAGCAGATGCCACAACAGCACCAGCAAGCGGAGCAAGAGGACTACCAAAATTGGCAGCAAGAGCAGAAGCATGACCTGGAGCAGGAGAAGCAGCAACAGCAGTCGGAAAAGCATGAAGAGCTGCAGCTGCAACAACGGCAATATAGCGAGACAACTGCGGAACCAGCACGACACTCGGTCCAGTGCCCTCCTCTCCCTCGCCTGGATGACAACCTCGTTTGCGACAACCTGGATATCAGTAGGGCGGGAAGAAAAAGGAAACCCCCTCCCGCTCAAATGACTGCTGCGCCGGTAGCCAAACGGGGGCGTGGAAGGCCGCGCAAAGGAGAACAAAGACCTGCACCTGCACCGAATCCACCGCCGGCGCCTCCATCCAGACCATGCCGCAGACAATGCAAGGGGAAGACATTCAGAGGACATCGCGAGGTAATCGAGGATGATCCTACATCAGAGGAAGATAGCAGCGAAAGCAAGGCTTGGAGCGAGTCGGATCCTGAGTGGAAGTAAAGTGTGGCGGGTTGCTGCGAGCAAGTACACACACCACTCATCAGAGTGGTGGCAGTCTGATGCACTGCGCTGATCATCTCTCTCTCTCTCTCTCTCTCTCACTCTCTCTCTCTCTCTCTCTCTCTCTCTCTCTCTCTCTCTCTCTCTNCTCTCTCTCTCTCTCTCTCTCTCTCTCTCTCTCTCTCTCTCTCTCTCTCTCTCTCTCTCTCTCTCTCTCTCTCTCTCTCTCTCTCTCTCATACAGCGTGTAGATTCAGTGTTAATTCTCCGCCTTCTTCTTCTTCGACTTCTTTCTGCTGCTGCTTCTGCTTCAAATAAATTCGGACTGAGTATTTGATTCATTTGGGAAGATGTGTTTGTGTGTTTTCTATATGTCGCCTCCGCACCGTGAAGTCTTGCTGACTTCTGCAGTTTGTGTTGCGTCTGATTAGGACAGGATAGGTTTCATGGTCGTTTTTCAATTCTCTGAGTTGGGTCGATTATCTCTTGTCTCGCTGTGCTGAACCTGTTGTCAGTGTTGTTTCTTTTGACAACTCATGTGGCAAGATGCCGTTGGATGTTGTTCTTTTGGATGCTGTTCAACCGCATTCATGTTCTTTTTTTTTTTTTTTTGTGCTCCTAGTCTTGTTTATTTCTTTCACAATCCAGGCTACTTTGCAGTCCAATGACTCAAAGAAAGACGAAGATGTGCGCCTGCGAAGACCACTGTCAAATCCCCCTTCTCTGACCACCTCCCCCAACCTCCAGCAGGACAAACTGCCCCCAATCCACTCCTGCCCCCTCTGCGCCCCCTTGCCTGCCCCCCTCCCCCCGGTATTCGAAGAGGAAATTCTCTGCGAATAGAGAAAGACCAAAGAACTGATACGGAAATCAAAGAGCTGCTCCAAAAAAACCCACACTAAGAGCTACCTCTCGGTGCAGAAAGCAATCTAGACTTGCACTGAATTGGACAATCACCAGCAGGAACTACAGGCCCCAATCTAGACTTCATGCTTCAGTTATCAACAGGCAACTTCAGTGCTACCTCTCGGTGTAGAAAGCAATGATCAAAAGAGAGACAGTGAGAACATGGGACAATGCCCTCAAGCTTTTCCATCTGCAATTCCAGCCGTTCAACTGAAAAAAATTTACAGACAGAAACATGTCGATGTATGGGCTGGTGTCTCCGTGATTGGTTGCACAGTCTGCTTCACCTCGTCACAGATTTGGGTAGTCAGTCTCCTTGGCGAGAGGGCAATCAATGCTGCCCCACGGCAGTCAACCTCCTCGGTAGTTGAGCCACCACCTCACCCCCCAGCTTCAAGGCAAATATCGAAATGAGCTTAAAAAAAAAAAACAAAAAAAAAACCACTAGATTTGGATACATCAATCTGGGCAATCAATGCTGTCCCGCAGGCAGTCCATATCCTTGGTAGTTGAGCTCTCCCCCCCCCCTCAACCCCCAGCTTTAAGGCAAATATCAAAATGAGCTTGAGGACAAAAAGACACCGGATTTCGACACGTGAAACTGAGCGCAAATAGGACTCACAAAAAAAAAGGGAAAAAAAAAAATGGGCCCGTTTCGGTCCCGCCCGGGTACCCTGGGCGAGTGGGACCCCGGGCGACTTGGCCCGGGTGGCCCGGCCGGGCGACTTACGTAGCCTAGGTGAGACCTCAATTAATAGCGGAACAAAGGTCCAAAGAAGAAACATTAAATCAAATTTTATTTGAGAATTGATTTATACAAGGAAATTGACAAATTAATTTGAAAGTTGATGGTAGCACAGACTCATTTGGAAAGTCTTGGATAGAACACGGGGTAATCCAACTGAGGGACGTGTGGGATGAGGAGGCAGCGGAGTGACTCCCATTGGCAGAGGTAAGAAAAAAGTTCCTCAGATTCAGACGGGTGAGAGAATTAAAGGATCTACACCACAATATTGGATCAGGGCACTCAATGTAGGCAGTTGGAAAATATGGGAAACGGGGACAGATTATTGAAAATTTTGGCTTCAGATCTGAGCTTCGGGGTAAAAGTTCGGGAATGGAGAAAAAACTCTGGGTCTGCCAATAGGCAGTTGGTAATGGAAGGAGAAGAGACAGTGATATCCACCTTGGAGCTAGAGGAAGTGAGGATATATAAGCAACGGACTCAGAAAGGTGTAGAATGCCGGTTGGTACGGGATTCACAGACAAACATACTGGTAGAACCTGTACTATTTGGATGGAACTGCCTCCAAGCCCCAAAGAATCCCAGTCTACCAATATAAAACAAAAGTGAGTGTTTAATTGTTACAAAACAAAGTTATAAAGAAGTCAATTTTAATGACTAAGAAAAGGTTGACAGATCTGATACACCACCCTCTGCCGCCGAGGAATAGCGATGGAAAATGATCTGGTCAGTGCGGAATGCGACAATCTTCCAACAGGGGGAAGTAAGCTCCCAACATACCAGGAACCAGATCAAGGTTGCAATTAGGTTTACCATATTTGCTGATTGGAGAAGAAAAGACCGTTTGTGGTTCTACAAAACCTGGGTCAAATATAAGTTTGCAAAGATGCAGGCGGAAAGTAAACTAGAGGTGGCCCAACGGTTGTGCTCATCGATGCTAAGGGCGAAGTTAGCCCTGTTGAAACCCCTAGGGTGAGTGTTTAGAGAGAGAACAAGCGATGTATTAGCCTGTTAAGTTGGAAACAAGATTAAGTATTTAACTATGTCTATAACAGTTCTGGGATTGGAGAAAACTTACACCGATGGGTTAAGGCTCAAGACCTAGCAGGAGAACGTGTCGCCAAGGCAAAGGTCGGCCTTGGACAACTGGGTCGTGAACCGAAAAGAATCAATTGGCCATGGTAACTCAAAAGGGTCAGTCTAATGTTTGGATAAAGGGTAAACTAAGATTGTGTTTTTTTGTTGTCTAGCTGTATAACCAGTACAAGGTAAGGCTTCGCAGAAAGGAGGTAGCTAGCTTTACTCTATTTTTCTGAGCTTAAACTACCAGTACCTACCAGTTGTATGGCCGCAACTTCCTCCCAGCGACTTTCGGAGGCCCCCGTCGCAACGTTGGCCGTTGCGAAGCTTCCGAAAATCGTGGGGTGCCCCAGGGATGTACACTGGTAGACGTACTGGTGGTTAAGGTTTATTTTTTGAGAAGTACATATATAGGAATGGGACGCTAGACCCTGTTTTCAGCTGTTTTCAGGTTTGAGCCTAATCATTTTTTTATTTTTTTTTTAATTAATTACCTGTCGAATCTTGACAGGACGACCTTTCATGCTTTTTTTATTCATTATAGTATTACAGGGAACCCCGTAGCAACACATCCGTGCTCAAGCCTCCAACGAGGGAACATGCGGGAGCTGCACCCACCAGCAGGTGTGATACCTGCTACAGTTCCCCTCCCCCTATGAACATCAGCAGGTAGCATCAGGACCGAGCTTCTTCGATGGGTCTGTCACTGTGCCTCCCTCCGTTCCCCTCCCCCTATGAACATCAGCAGTCTCTGCTCAATGCCACTCGGGGGGGGTAACAACATATCTCTAGGTGGCGAGCTCCAAGCTTGCCAGGAAGGTACATGAGGCCAATGGGGATTGAACCCAAGACCTCCTGAATGCCACTTGCGTGCCTTACCAACTGACCCAGGCCTCTGGATGGTTTGAGCCTAATCTGGGTAATGGCCACATGCTTTCCAAAAAAAAAAAAAAAAAAAAAAGGAAAATAACGCGGTGAGAGAACCGCGGGGCAGACCCTCCGCCCCGCCAAATGATGTTCTCTCTTTGCATACGTTTGCCGTCGTCCATCCACCCGACCGGTCGTGGCAGTTGAATGAAGTCAGCAGAGTCGTGATTTCATATTCATATTCATATTACGAATTATCATGTTTTTTTTTTTTTTTAAAGAGCGATGACCTTTTGATATCATCACTGAAGTTGACCGGCCCCAGGTAATTCAGTTATACCGGGCATTTGATTGTATCCGGATAAGTTTTTTTTTTTTTTTTTTTTGAAAAAATTGAATCATTGTATTTCATATAGAAAACATTGAGGCCGAGAATTCCTCACAACAACCCGGAATAAACTGGGGTCATTACCCAGGTAGGCTTGGTGCTGGAAACCGGGTCCAGCGTCCCATTTTTTTTCCAAATCCTATGCAATTCTTCCAAAATTATCCACATGAAGGCTCAACAAACCCTAACAAATTGTCCAACTTCCTATTTATTCCTACTTCCAAACACCTCCCCCAACATTAAACGAATCACTTTATTAAAGTTCTGCTGAGGCCTAATGCGGCCCCTAAATTCCACCCAATATTAGACCGGAGGTAGTTTCTGACTTCTGACAACTCCGTACACTTGAGGCTCAGGGCCCAGCCCTACCTATGTTACTATCACCGCACAACCACGGGGCTAACTTCAATTTTCCATCTGTAGATATCTTAGCGAACTTGCTCTTTACCCACTTTTTGCAGAACCAGGTGCGATTTTTTTTTCTCCAATCTGCATAGACTGTCAACCTGATGCTGAACTTTATCAGGTTAATAGTCCGTTGGATCGGTATCACTTTATGCTGGAATATTTGGGCCTCCCAGATCGTCTCCATGACAATATTTCTGCAACATAGAGCAATGTAATTTCTCTCAATGCCAAAGTTGCCTTTTGGAGGAAGTTTTACAAAAAGTAGGAAGTCATCCTCCCACTGGAATGCGATCTGAGTGTTCTTCCATAATTCCTTCCGATAAAGGATATAGCAACCACAGATGGGAGGCCGACTCCTAGCCCCAATTGCACCGAACGCACGTAGTTGACATGTCCGTACCTTTTGTGTTAAGCCACAGGGATGAGGGGGTGATTTGCAAGGATTGGAATCATTGTACTGTCGCCTGTTTCTGAGAAGGTATTCTCTTCAGTGCTTTCTACAGTCTGAATAGGTCCGCCTCTGTTACCGACAAAGTTTGCAGATCTGCTAGTCTGCTCATTGCTACTGTTATAGGTTTCTTAATAACCCTCTCTTGTTGAATCCGAACACCGAGTTTTGTTTTATACTGGTAGAGTGGTACTATCTCTCCCTGGGACGCAAGGGACCAGTCGTACTGTACTGGTTTCACTACCAGCCTATCCTGTGTAGCTGCTACCAATTGGCAAGAGGATCCTTTCTTGTTTTTTTCCTCAAACACTCTTGCTTCCTCCAGCTCCAGGGTTGACTCCATCTCTTCTTCCTTAAATAAGGGATGAGTGGTTCTTCCTCGGTCTGCTCCTCCATTTCTGTATCCTTGTCCCTGTCCTGAGATCCGGACCCAAGATTTTCCCAAACTTGTTCCTGTTTTCCGGGTTCACTACCCAACTTCCAGCATTGAGTTCACTGTCCTTTCGTAAGGCTCTTATCCAGTGTGCGTGCACTGCTTTTTGGATTATTCCATAGTTTTGTTCCACACGGCGGAGTCTTGGGAGTGCCACTTTCACGCTGTCCTCCATTAGCCAGTCTGCCTCATCTACATTCCATACGTCCCGTATCTGAATGACACCATGTTCAATCCAGACTCTTCCAAATGACCCTGGACTACCATCTGCCACTATCAGATTTGTCCCTTGGACCTTGATAAAGTCATTTTCCAACACTATTTGATTCAAAATCTCACTTTTGGCTTTTGGCTCTTCTAAGATTTGAGGGCGTACTCTATTCCAAGCCAGCAAAATGTTGTGCCAGACCGGGGATCTTGTCTTCTTTGGCAGTAGGATTTGATCATCAAGCAGCACCCTCCCTCAGCGACCATTCCTGCATCGGAATGTATTCTGCTAGCTTCAACCAGTACTTATCTGCATCCCCACACATTGCCTCTATCGGCAGGCCACTTGACCAACAATGCTACATTTTGTTGTATCGGGTCCAAGATTCCCATGCCTCTTTCACAATGAACCCCCGTTTTTAAAAGCTTCCCTCCCAAGAAGTGAACTGTCAATGGAAACCAGAGGATGGAAAAGGCTGCCGTTGAGAGGACCAAAACTCTCCCAAAAAGGGAAAGTTGGTGATTCCGCATCCATCCTCTTATTCTTCAAACCACCTTCTCTGTCAACAATGCATCCTGAGTCTGGGTGCAATCCGTTAGTGAGACCTGGACTCCAAGGAATCGGTGATGTGTTCGCTGGGATTTGACGAAGACCCCAGTCTCCTTTCAGTGTGAAGAATGCGGAATGAGTCTGTATTTCAACAGTTCACGGGTGTACCAACTGAGCTAGGCTCGTTGATATTATCACGTGTTGGCATATTGCACCCGTTGCTTTTCCCCCAAAATCCCTGCCGTTCTATTCGTCAATTTCGCTATCGAGACGCAGATATGGACGGGGGACTTCTCAGTCGGTCGGCAAGCGTAGCGGTCGGCAACATACAACAACGGGCAGCTTGTCTAACTACTCGTTTTGTCTGTCCCATCTGTCCCGTCTCACTCCCACTCCCACTCCCACCCCATCTCCAATGTGGTCCTCTTCCTGTCGTCGTCGCGGTGGAACTTGCTCTTCTTGCCTTCGTCTCTCTCCGAGTTCAAACCCAATGCCAACGAGTTTAAATCCTGCTTCTCCGCCATTCCCCACTGTTATCAGCACGAAGCCGAAGCCTACTGGGAGCTCCATTAACGACTCCTTCCTTAGAGGAAACGATCGGTGAAGGCGAGGTGAACATACACGCTGTCCGCGGGCGACAGGGGAGGCACGTGTGCCTGCGGGTCTCGCTCAACGTAACCAACCGCTGTTCTTGAGGGGCTGGTGCCAGTCTTCCGCAAACCAGGCTTCCACATACCACTCTTTCGCCTCCATTGATCCTGTTAGCTCCCTATTTTCCGCCTCCATTGATCCTGTTAGCTCCCTCTTTTCCGCCTCCATTCATCCTGTTAGCTCCCTCTTTTCCGCCTCCATTGAGCTTTCTATCATCCGCTCGCTCTCTTTCATTTCGTCGTTGAGGACCAGCAGTATTAGTTACCTAAATGACGAATGTGACAAAAACGTTGCTGGCAGTGGCCACATTGAGATCGATGTGAAGCATGCCGGCGAGGGGACGGCCGTGAATCCGGCGATACCCGGAAGTGGCGCAAGCGGACGGATAGCGGGGGGACATCGGCGCAGGGGCCGCAGTGGACGGCGGCGCCGGCGGCTTAACGAACAGAGGGCAACAGCGGGCGGCGGATCTCGGCGCAGGAGCCGCAGTCGACGTGTTGAATTGACAGCACCTCACTCGTGTTCCCGGTCTTTATTCAACGGCATCGATTTTTTTTCAGATCGTACGGTCGAGCAGCTTAAACTCCCAAGGCGGAATCCGTACGCTTTCCGTGCAACTTTTTTTCGCTCTTTTCGCGTTTGCTCCTCGCCGCCTCTCCATCGTAATCGTCTTCTTCTTCCTTCTTCTTCCATTTACATTCTTGTCCTCGTCGTCTTGACTTCAGTCGGCGGCGCACTGGCGGAAGGTCGGTCCTCTGGACTTTCAAGAACCATCGCCGCGTAAACGAAGCACGGTCTCCCCTGCCTTTACCTCCTCCTGCTCTTTCTCTTCTTTTTTCTCCTTTCTCTCTTGCTGGGCTTTCCTCCCTCTCCTCCTCCTCCTCCCGCGCCTCCTCCGTCTTCGCTCATTCCAGCTCGGCTATTGTCCGATCTGCGAATCAGCGCCTATCCGACTCGTGCGTCGGGAGTCGCAGGTACTTAGGAGCATCTTTCGGATCTCTTCTTTTTTCTCTTTTCTGTTTTGCTGGGCTTTCCTCCCTCTCCTCCCTCCGTCTCCTCCGTCTTCGCTCATTCCAGCTTGGCTATCGTTCGATCTGCAAATCAGCGCCTCTCCGAGCCGTGCGTCGGGAGTCCCAGGTACTTAGGAGGATCATTAGGATCATAATCAAAATATTTAAAAAGCCTTTTCTCTGCAATTGGCAGAAGGAAATGCGGCAGCCTTTCGGCTTGTGATATTCGCGTGCAAAGCCTTTCTTTCGCTCCTAGTTTCACCCGAAGCAGCAGAAGCAGCAGAAGCAGCAGCAGCAGCCAAAGTTCCTTCTATCGTGGTCTTTTGTCGCCATCGTCTCTCTTGCCACAATTGTCCTTTCTTTCTTCTTTCCCTGCCCCTCTTATTGCCGGCTCTGATACTCGGCCATTCTGCATGCTTTCCCAGGTGCTATCTGAATGCTTCTGCGTTCCTTCTTCTTCAGATCGCTTCCTTGTCTGTCATATTCGCTTGAGAAAGCGCGTGGCTTCTTCTCTCACGCCCTCTCTCGCTCCATTCTCTCCCATTTCGTGCTCAGAGGGAACTCCTTTCCTTCACTGTCGTTCCACTAGCTGGGCCACTTACGACTCCCACTCGCTGCCGTCTTCCATACTGACAAATTCTTCTTCTTCTTCTTCTTCATCTTCTTCTTCTTCTTCTTCTTCCTCCTCCTCCTCCTCTTCCTTTTCTTCCAGTTGTTTCTTCTGGTCTTCGTGTTCTTCTTGCTCTTTGTATTCTTCTTCCCATTGGAATAATGAGAAGCATACAGGCGGATTTGAATCGTCCGCCAGTCCTTTTTCCCTGTGTTTTCGTCGTTACATTCCGAGCAACAAGAACAAGAATGTTGGAGGCGTAGTGAGGGCCTGGGAGCTGAGGACGTGGTCGTCTCGCCGTGCTGGTCGACTTCGAGTGTTCTTTTGTCAGAAACCGCCGCAGATACAGAACCGCCTGCCTGCTTTCATTGTTCTTCTCCTCCTGCTTGTTCATCATCTTCGTCTTCTCTATCATCAGCATCAGCGTTGTTGTCGCTTGCGAAAGCGCCCATCACCAACGCGTCTGTTGGCCAGAGCCATCCTTATCTTTCTCTAACAACAATGTCGGTAACCGCTATAGCAGCGAGAGCAAGACTGAGGAGGTGTTCCTTCTCAGCCCCCTCCCCCCCTTCTTCTCCATCCTCATCCTCGTTGTGCACCTCGCCCACGGATCTTGCTCAAGCTATGACTGTGACGGACCACCCGCCGCAGCTGCGCAGCGTGCAGAAGGTGGTCGCTTCGTCTGGTCTAGAGAATGGGCGGGCTTTCTTGGACAGCAGCTCTCACCCCCCCACCCGATCTCTGTGCTCTCGGCTCGCGCCTGCGGGAGCCGTAGATCTCGCTGCTGTTGATCAGACGGTGTCGAGCTTACAGGCCTTGCCCTTGCGCGGTCCATCTTCAGCAACCTGCGCAACAACCTCCGCCGATGGCGACCGCCAACCTTCTTCCGCCGATGGAGATCGTCGGCCATCTTCTTGCGTTGTCGCGCAATGCGATGATCCGATCAACGGTCGGAAATGCCCCATGGTGGCTCCATCCGAGGAAGAAGGCTGGCGAGTGAAGACAGCAAGATCCACCATGGACGCGCGATTGGACGTCGCTCCTGCTCAGCCCCCTCTTTTGTCATCATCAATCAAGCAGGTCATGCGGGCTACGTGTCCACCCTTGGGAGGAGGTAATCAAGTTGGCGATCATTTCGTCGAGGAGGGTGAATACGTTGACCAATCCGGTGATACGAAGTACCTCGATCGGGCGAATGACTTCGCACTTGGCAATCAGCCAATTGGCAGCATACATGTCATCGTAGGGCCGATGTTCGCGGGGAAGACGACGGCGCTCTTGAAGCGAATGGAGGAAGAGGCAAGCAAGGGAAGGTATGGAAAAACACGAACAGTACACCCGATATCCTATATGCCAAGTGGTTCGTGTGGTCCACGGTACTTACCATACTGTGTAATTGGCGGGGTTCTGGCTCGGTGATTATCTGACAACACAGCGGGAAGACTTCGTAGACTGTGTTTTATGGCTGTGACTAGTTTCTCAGACTCGTTCTCATTCTTGTCATAGGTTTGCACTGAAAGTGTGCGACGATTGCAGAGTTGGTTGATGTGAATAAAGTCGACCACTCTGCTCACGGGTATCGCTAGCTTTGGGCGACGTGGTAAGCCCTTACCCATCAGTCAATCAAATGGATGCTGTCCAGACTGTCGAGGTTCAACCTCCTGATGAGTCGGTGAAAGTCCAACGAAGCAGTCCAGCACACTCATGCTTTTTTTTGTGGACATGGCAACACACACACACACACGCACACACACGCACCGACACACACTGGACATGACAACACACACACACAGACACTTTCCTTAGTTCATTGACTGGCATCTATTGACTGGGATCTGTTTTAGTGATTGTCGGAACATACACAGCCGCGCGTGTAACTCGCCTAGTGCAAATGTACCTGGTCTACTTGGCAGTCCGGATACGTCTAAAATGTTGAGTAGTCACCCGAGGCGATCACCAGATTGGCTGACAGACATATCACAGACGTAGAGTTTCTCACGTGTTCCTTTTTGTTCGCATATTCCTCTTTTTCCGCTGTCTCTCAGCATTTTGCCTTCCTTTCCCGTCGAAAAGATTAATAAATAATGCTTTTTAAAATCGACTTGTTTGCTCGTGCAATGCCGTATTCATTCTTCCCTCCATTCATCTTATAGTTCGTTGAAGCTCTGCGCATCTTTACCATCAGAGTCGAGAGCCTAATTCAGTCTAAAAACCTGTCACTCTCAAAATCATCCGACGAGGTCCGCGGAAGAAGATCGATTCGAACCAAAATACTAATAATAAAGTTTATCAATAGACGGCATGAACATGTGGGGTAGATCAGGCTAATTTAGTAGTCTAGTATAGGGTAGAGGGGCTATATTTTTGTAGCGGGTAGAGGGAGATGGAGCCAATTGCTTCCCTTTGGGGTTGGAATTGATTTTTGGAATGGGGGCTGGCCTTTCTGGTTTTGTGACTGTGTAGTGGGTTAAAAACCCATTTAACCAAAGCTGGGTAATGGTACCAGTAGTCTGGTCTGTGTCGCTCAGGGTTATTTCTGAGGAATTTCCGAGCATTTTTTGGTCTATTAGTGGAATGTCCTTTCTTTTTCCCAAGAAAAAATAAAAAAAGAAACTTGAGATGGTTTGTTTTTTAAAATTCGGTTGTCTTATATTTTGTTTGATGGTTGACTTGCAATTTTGTCGAATAGAAATAAGATCACCACTGGAAACTCGAAAGCTAGGCCGAAGGATAATTTGATTATTAACACAAATATTTTTATGACTTATAAGCTGTCTTGTGCTTCTCGTATAGACGAAGTAGAAGAAATGTTAACAAACAATCCTATTTGGAAACAACGACTTGTAGATATTGGTACTGTTACTGCACAACAGGCTATGTTTTGGGGATTTAGTAGTGTAATGTTAAGAGGTTCAGGGGTTTCCTGGGATTTGCGAAAAGCAGCACCCTACGATGTTTATGACAAAGTAGAATTTGATGTACCCGTAGGTACACGAGGAGATTGTTATGATCGTTATTGTGTCCGCATTGAAGAAATGCKACAAAGTCTTTGAATCATTGTCCAATGCTTGAATCAAATGCCTAGTGGCATGATCAAAGCGGATGATGGTAAACTTTGTCCTCCTTCACGCTCTCAAATGAAACAATCCATGGAATCACCTCAGTTCGGATTGTTCTCTGCAACTCGAGAACATGAAGTTGGAATCGCTCGTAATCGCGGGTCAGCATGCCGCGGTGAATATGTACTCAGGCCTTGTACACTCCGCCCGTCACACCATGGGAATTTCTTTTGCCCGAAATCGTCTCTATGATAAACCAATGACTTTGATACGTTACTATAAGTTAAAAAAAAAAGACTTAAGACTTACCGAGTACGGCCGGCCCGCACCGCTCACCGACAGTGAAAGACGAAACCTATGGCGGGTGCATATTCCCACGTTCTAGCGGAAGATGCATCCCCCATTTTGCACTGTTGGTGCGAGGTCCATAGTCCGGTCAATCCATCAATTAATCAGTTAAGTCTAGCAATCAATCAAGCAAATAATCAACCAATTAATCCATCAATCTATCAATCAATCAATCAATCAATCATGTAATCAATCAATTAATCAATCAATCAATTAATTAATTAATTAATCCATAGCTCGCTCCCGACTTACCCTGCTGACACTTCTCGCCAACATAGAGTCCATATTTCACAAGACGCTTCTTCCCAAAGATGTTCGATCTTGAAAAGACAAAAACAAAGATTTCGGATCGACTGTTTGGACAAACGACTGCGCGTTGGTTAATATGAAAAGATGTGGGAACAGATAGAGGCTAAACCAAGACAACCAAGAAATAACGAAACAAGGCGTAGTGTCAGAGGCACAACAAGACAAAGGTGATGGCTATGCTTATGGTGGAAAGGAAGGAAAGGAACCCAACCCTGCCTCTTTGTCAAGAAGAAGGTAGTCCACGTATGTATTACTGAGCTAGAAGGTCCAATACACCCGTCTGCAGAAGCGCAAAACTGTTGCAGACCCGAGTTTGAAGCCAGATGTGATTAGATGAACAATTCTGAATAGCCTGGGACCGGTTAGCTCAATGATGTTATCACAAGGCCGTCACCAAAAAAAAGAACAAACGAAAATATAACCACAAAACTGCGCCACTGAAGTTGCAGTAGGTTCGAAATTTCCAACAGATTTTGATAGTCTAACAAGTAGCAACAACGTGACATCATGGCTTGTGTAAGGCTGTCGACAGCCTCACCTGATGCCAGAAACAGTGTTGCTCAAAGCACACGGGTTCGCTTCCTATGTGCCCTGGCAAACCCCAGCCAAAACAAGCACAGAGCAGGTAGCACGGTTGCAGCTTATGGGAGTCGCCGCAGCAAACCCCTGCCAAAAGAAGCGCAGAGCTCATATTACGATTGCAGCTCATGGGAGTTACGCCGATAGAATTTCTAAAGTCTTCGAGTCTGCTCATAAGAGTTTTTGTCTGCAGCATTGTCACCTATCGTATCTTGCCTATAAATTCGTGCCTCTGTGTGTATGTCTGTGTGTTTGTCTGTGTTGTCATGTTTGCTATACACGACTCCACGGAAAAGCAAGACTGTGCCAGACTGTGTGAGCGTGTTTGTGTGTGTGTGTG